CAAAAATGCAGAAGAGTGTGAAAAGACAGTGATTTGATGATGTGGAAGCTGAAGCTGAAGGAAAAATGGGGGAGGTGCTGTCAGCCATGCAAACATGAGTTTGATGTTTCCAAGAATGGAATCATAGATTTGAACAATGAATTTTGTGTAATGGAGAGTACTTTGAAGGTGATAAGGTTGTTTGGTAAAAAATTTAAATACATAGCTTTGAAAAAAATTATGTTTTTTGGGGGGAGTACACTATTGTATGCTTATGGGATGCAGACTACAGGTTAGATATTGTGCCAGTTGGTGTGGTTATAGCATTGCCGAATAAAGCTCACTTTCTCTAGGGTTGGCAGATGGGCAGTGACTATCACGGGTCTTAGAAGGTGCTGAGAAGAAGAGGGGGCCATAGCACTTGTACCAATGGACTTTAGCTTGCCCTGGAGAGTCAGGGAAGGCTTTGTTGAAAGATCATGGTTAGTTCAAACTCTGGATGATGAATGAAGAGTTATCTGGACAAAAGAGGGGGAAGAGAGGGCCTTCTACAAGAAGAGAATGCAAGTGCCAAGGTCTTGAAGCAGGAGACATACACTTGCAAGAATTAAAAGACAACCAGTTTGCCTGAGGGGCACAGAGCATAGTGGAGAGAGATGGAAGTGAAGTTGGGGAGCAAGGTAGGTATTCTATCATGCTGGTCTGGTGTGCCACATCATGGCTTTAGCCATCATTCATTTAATCACTTGGAATTAATTCATCCACTCATTTACCTCATTCAACTCACTTATTTTTTTTGGCTCTCGGGGCATGTAATCTTTAAAAAAAATTATTATTAAATACTTTTATTGGGGTTCTTACATCTCTTATCACAATGCATACATTCATATGTTGTACATATGTTGCCATCATCATTTTCAAAGCACTTTCTTTCTACTTGAGCCCTTAGTATCAGCTCATTTTCTCCCTCCCTCCCCCACCCTCCATCCCTCATGAACCCCTGATAAGTTATAGATTATTATTTTCATATCTTACATCATCCTCTGTCACCCTCCACCCACTTGTCTGTTGTTCGTCCCCCTGGGAGTGGGTTATATGTTGACCCTTGTGATCCTTGTGATTTCTGCCCCCACCTTCCCCTTATCCTCCTGGTATCTCTATTCTCATTTCAACTCACACTTATGGAGATGCCTCCATATGGAGGGCACTCTTTTAGGCACTTGGGTTAAAGGATGAAACCAAAGGACACATTCCTGTCCTCCTGAAACTTACATTCAAGTTCAGAGACAAAGATAATGCAGAAATGTAATATATAGTGTTTTGTGCTACGCTATGAATGACCCTTGAAAACAATGTAATGCTGAGAACAAGAAATCAAACACAAAAGCACAAATGCTGTATAACCCTTCCTTTATCTACATCCTTCCACCTGGTAATATGTCCCCTTCAAAACGTTTTTTTAGATGAATGAGACAGTAGCATAGTACATAAGGGGGCTTCAAAATATAGGACCAGCAAAGCTCTAGAGGCAGTGACTGCATTGATGGTTTCTTAGGGGGCAGGGCAGGGGAGGTTGGGTCAAATGTGGCATTGATAACGATGAGTACAAGAAAGAAGTAAATGTTTTACGATTGACTGTGGAGATAGTGGCACTACTCTTAAATACGAATGAACTATTAAATTGTATGACATGTGAATTATGTGTCAATAAAACTTAAAAAAAGAAAAAAGTTCATGGAAAATGGAATTAAAAGATCATTAATAATTTCCCACAACTTTTTTGATGCCCCTTCATAGATGAGTTTTATAATTTGGGACTTTATAAGAGAAGTTAAAGTAGTTGACAATCCCACCTCTGAAAAAAACTTATCTTCATTTTGCTGGATGGGTGACATGAGCTCACACCACTCACAGCAAAAGTTTCACGGTGCTTTGTTAATGTGAGTATTACTTTTGTTTTGTTTTAGTTTCGGGCATTTTATTGGCGTACGGGTGAAAGTTTACTATTCAAATTAGCTTCCCATTCTACAATGTGCACACATCTTGTTTCACGGCATTCTTTGCAATCCCCTCAATTTAACAGCACCGCCCCCCCTCCCCCAGGCTCCTCATCACCACTGGGCCATCTTTTTCATCCTTGCCTGTCTTTTGAACTCTGGTTTGGGCAAATCATCTTCTTTTGGCCTCCCATGGTTGCTTATTTTGAGCAACATGCTCTTGGTTGTTATTGTTCACTTTACAGGCTCGTTAATTGTTTGGCTGAAAGATGGTCTTTTGGAATAGATTCCGTTTCAGACTTGAAGTGAGACTAAGCGCCATAATCTTGGGGCTCCACCAGTATCTACTAGACTAGTGAGTCTTGGTTTTCGTTGTGTTTGTTTTAGAGTTTTAAGTTTTGTTCTACATATGTCTGCCTCCTGCTCTGTCTAGGACCTGCTCTTATTATCGCCATCACAGCAGTTGGTCATGGTAGCTGGGCACCATTCAGTTTGCTGGTCTCAGATGAGTGGGGACTGCGGCTCCGGCGGTCCAAAGGGATCCTTGGTTCCTTCGGGCTTTGGTTTTCTTCACCTCTCTTTTCCTGGTATGGTAAGAGACTAATAGGGATACCTAGGGCATTGGAGAAACAGTACTTTTTCAAAATCATGATTTGATTTTAAAATCATTGTCTTTTAGGAGTCAGCGTGGTTTCATTTAATGAATCTGCAGTGAAATACTTAACATTTTTATTCTATTCTACTTTTTAAAACAAATGTGCACCAGAAGGGTGAGTGGTGTAAATGAAGATGGACCGCCCCCGTTGTGTAAATTAGCAATTCTTTTTATCTATCCTGGATTTATCCTTAAAGCATTATGGAATAACTCACAGCTTGAACCCTGCCGCTTGGTGAACATGCTCATTCTCATGCCTTTATATTCTTATCCACATCGGGCTTTTGTCTCACCAGATGGACACCTTGAATCGCAGCGTCGGTTCACAGGGGCCTCATCCCTGTGATCACCAGTTTTCCTTGTTAATCAGGCTGCAGTAGTATTTGGAGGTGACATGTTTGGCTTCTGAAAAGTGATGCACAATCCCCTGTCCATTCAGGGACTGGTGAAAAGCCATCTGGTGGGTGTGGGGCTTCCCAGCTGTATTATAATTTTTTTGAATTAAACATTTTTGACCACATAGAGAATAAAGGGCAGAAACCCTGCCGAGGTGGCCTATAGTAGGACCTCCATTTGATAGACACAGGAGAAGGAAGAAAGAACAAAGAAGAAAAAGAAATCAAAGATAAAAGGGAGGGGGCACAGTTAAAAAGCAATGTGATCATTCAGAGCACCATTTGTAAGTAAAACAAAAACCAAGAACTTTATTATTTTATGTCCCAGCCCCAAATCCAAAGGACTAGACATTTTAAGTGTTCATTAAAAAAGAAAAGAAAAGAAAATTCCCCAGAATTGCACATTGAAGTGGCCTAGGCAATTTCTTCTCTACCAGTAGCAGAACACTGATACAGGAAAAAATAACTCAGGCAGTATTTCTCTAGTAAGAAAAAGAATTGCACATTCTTTGTATTTCTGGTGTAGATGTTAAGACTCATCAAAACGGGGAAAAATAGATCTATGAGCATGTCTCATGGGCAAGATGTTTTGCTTCAACTGGACAGTCTTCCTCAATGCCAGTGGGTCGATTCTAACTCCTAGTGACCCTGTAGGACAGGGTAGAACTGCCTGTATAGACCTCGAGACTGTAACTCCTTATGGGAGTAAACACCCTCTTTTTTTTTTCCTGTAGAGAAACGTGTGGTTTCGAACTGCTGACCTTGTGGTTAGCAGCCCACCGCATAACCCACTACACCATCATTGAAACAAGTTGATATGGATCTGATTTTCAGTCCTGTTCCTTCAGATGGACTCTTTCTTTTTCCTGTGGAACATCAAGATAAAGTAGTGCATTAGAGCTCTCCGACTGAGTGTGATGAGTTTCTGTTGGCATTTAACACTTGGAAACATCATTCAAGTGCATCTTACCTTACTCCTCATGACTAAGGAACTCATTTATTCCTATTCAGGAAAATACAGCTCAGTGAGGAAGTCAACTAAATGTGACACATATATTTGGAGGCAAATAATTGAGAGTTGATGGGCATTTGAACACAGGCTGTGTTGAAATTCAATTTGATTTGATCTTGCATCAGAGGGTTTACTAAACAAATGTAAACAAGACAATAGGAGACAACCCCCCAAATCCAAACTTTTATTTCCAAAATCTAAGTCACATTTTTCAAGCCGTTTATTTTAAGAAGTGTATATAGTTCTATTTATAGAAGCTGATATGGCTGATCTCAACTTCAGAAGAATTGTATGAAGGACTGATGTGAAGCTGTTGCTCTTCTTTTGAGAAAAGTCATCTTTTTCATTTTTAAATTCTTTTAAATGAACAGCTTAGTTGCATAGTCTTCTTGGACAGTTTAATTTTTTGAGGCTTAATTGTAGATGCTAATAACATACATTTACATGTCCAATTCATGCTAAGGATTTCCGGGATGACTGCAGTGAGTGGAGAAGGGAACACTGCAGAATTCTATGTAAACTCTGAGCAGAAATATGAACAGTGTCTCCTTTAGAGATAACTTCGGGTGCTGGTGGAATGTCATCCTTTATGTCGGGCCCCGTGCCAAGGGCAGTGGGTGCAGAACTTTAGTCTTTATGAGAAACTGTTTCTTGGGGGTACATTTTAATGGTTCTATGTGTGTTCTAGATGTGGGCCCAAAGGGGTAGCCCCAGACCAATTTTAAGCTCCCAGATAAATAATTAATGTTGCAAATTTCAAATGTGCTCAATTTGGCTTTGTGAAACTACAGCTCCGAGACCAACTGAGCCCTGCCTAATTTGGAAATATTTTCTTTCTTGCTTGCTTTTTCTAAATTTTGACATGCACGCTGCTATCGACTCTTGTAGCTATTTCTAGCATCACACGGAGCCGTTTCCATGGTTGTCATAGTGCAGAGAAACACACAAGAAAACCCCAAACATAGTGCTTTCACAAAGCATTTCTTTTTATTTGAAAACATGATACAGGCATTACATTGCCACAGCCAGTCCATAGGGAAGCATGCAAACATCAAAAGACGGAGAGTGTGTTCAGCTTATCAGTGTAAAGTTCTCTTTGTTTTTCTCTTTTTTTTGGTTCATATTTTCCAATTGTGGTGTCAGGATTAGTGTGCTTGTTATGTGGTTTAACAACAGAATCCTACCCATGGGGTAAAATCTGTGCTGAGAGCTAGCTGGGAACTACTAAATGGTTATAAATCAGAAACAAACCCAAACAAACATTACTACACATTTCTCAAAAGGTTAATAGCACAGTTAGCAATACCTACGCTAAACATTGAAGTATTTCCATGGGACACAGTGGTGCAAAGTATTCCATTGCTTGGTCTACCTGGTCGTGGGTTACAGAGTTTGGAGCTGTGAGTTGACCAGAGCCAGCTCTCTCCCCAGCACAGGTTTTGGCTGAGGAAGTGGGAGCCACCACTGTGCTCTAGCGAGGGTTAGGAGAGCTGTGGTTTGCTTACTCAAGAACATTCTACACAAATTGGTCCAAGTCTCATTCGTTGAGGAGTGAGTGGTGGTGGATTTAGACGCTGTCTGTTTGCTGGTGTCTACTGCGTTATGGAACTTCAGAGACTGAAACGAGAGTCAAGGTTGTCCCACATCCCACTCCACGCCTAAAGGATGAGTGCTTTCATTCCGTAAAAAGAATTTGTTCTTTGCTATTCTCTTTTCTTTTTTTCTCAAAGGGTCATTTTGGAACTCCCGATCTCAGACCCTTCAATATGTTATCGACCTTCTTAAACAGAGACAAGCCAACACAGTGAGGCACCCCAGTGACATGGCAGTCTTGTATACAGGGACGCTTGATGATAAAGGGTATATAATGAACTCAACGTAACATTCACATTTGGTTTCCATACAATGGAGTCAATGAAAATATCCTATAAAATAATTCAGATGGCAACTTGTAGCTATCTGTGGATTGCAAACACTTTTTTGAATTTTTAATTTAAAAAATCCCAGTCCACTGACTGAATTGGAGAGTACTTTCAGCTATTTGTTTCCCATAAGACTTTGCTAAGCATCTACAAATTAGTGTCATAAAAATGAATTTAAAAAGGCTAAAAACATTTGGCTTAAAATAAATACTAGAAATGCAAGAAATCAAGCAAATTATGAAAACCAAAGGAATGTAAACACAACAGTACAACCACAGTCTTCAAAGGTCTTGCAGACCAGAATGGAGAAAGTATTCAGAGAAAGGTATTTAACTGATTTAAAAGGTAGCTAAGAGCAAATGTCGGCAGACTCATTTTGATTGGCTATCGCTGCAGCCTTGATTTTTTTCTTCTTCGTAGAAAATGATACACATTTCTAGGGGGCTGACCTGAGATGACCATGAAATTGGCCTAGTGGAGAAGATAGGTATTTTGTCTTTCTAGTCTCCAGAGACAGAACCACCTGTCCTGTGTAGTAAGCTGGTGAAGAGGCTACACAGGCGTGGACGGCGTGCACAGGAAGCAGTCACCTGCAGTGCTTAGTCCCCACACACGCTCTGTATAGAAGCCCTGGTGGCTGCCTAAGTTTTGGCTGCTAACTTCAAGGTCGGCAGACCATCTGTGGGCAAAAAGATCTGATGATGCTCCCATGAAGATGCTGTCCTATAAGGGTGTCTACATCAGCACCCCAGGTTTTGTGGCACCCCTGCTTCATTGTGGCCCCGCTGCTGATTTCCTTCGCTTGCTTACGTATGTTGCATTGGTATGAATTGTCCAACGTTTCATAAACACTTACTTCTGGTTTTCAAATGCTATAACTCTGCTGAGGAACTTTTTGACTGGCATCGGTGTCAACCAAACTTAATACTTCTGTGGCATCCTGGTGGCCCAGTGGTCCAGGCTAAACTGGATCCACCAGCCTTGGATCTGCGGGAGACAGACGTGGCAGTCTCGTTCCATAAAGAATACAGCATTTGAGACCTTGTCCTATCGGGTCATCATGAGTCAGAATCGACTCCGTGGCAGTAAGTTTGGTTCGGTTTGGTTTGGGTGGTGTTTCTGGGTGCCTGGGTAATGCAGACAGGTTTGCTCTTGGTGACTAGCCAAAAGGCTGGCCATTAGAACTACCCAGCAACACTGCATAAGAAAGTCCTGGCCATCTGGTGGGGTAAAGATGACAGCCAAGACAAGATGAGGAAGCTCAATGCGCGTCTTGAACACAGCGGGTAGCCATGGCTGGGCCTCCACCTGGCAGCAATGGGCTTGCCATGTTTCTGGATGCCCTGTGTTGGATACAAAGACTACATCAAGGCCAACGAAAGCATGGAACTCCAACTCATCAAGACCCTGTGATCGTCTCTGCATCCATCAGAGCACCGTGTCTTCACCGCCACGGCAAAGTGCCCAAGCCAGTTTTCTTCAGAGACTGCTCTGGATCAGCACCACAGTGTGGGAGGGGGTGCCACAGCTGGGGACCCTCACAACGAGGGGCATTTCTATGCTGCAGGACTGAAACAGAAGTGCCACACCATTAAGAAAGAAAAGGGGCACGGCGATTTTAAGTGCCCTGATTGATTTCCAGATGATCTCTAAATAAAGTTAGAAAGAGAAATAGATCTGTATATTTGCATATGTTTTGAAGATAGACTCCTGGGAGGGGAAGAGATCTACATAGCTCTTCCTAAACTCAGAGGATACTGTCCCTGGGGTCTCCACAAACCACAGAAAGGTGATCCTCCTGCATCTGTGACCACAGGAACTTGGTTGGCAGAACCCTGTGGCACAACAGAAAGGCAAAGGCCCAGAGAAATCACAGACCGAAATACAAAAGGGTGGGCAAATTTGTTTTATATCTATTCCTAGAATAGAGAATTATATGGTCAGTTGCCCCACCCCACAAGGATCACAGCACAACATACGCATTGAGCAGGCAATCCAACAGACAGCCAAGGAAACCATTAGCCACTAGGCCGGTCCCTAGCTAAAGAAACTTCTCATGGGGGGAGCTCCTATGACATGTATCACAAGGGTAGTCTGTGCCAAAAAAAAAAATCAGGAAAATATGATTTTTAAAAAGTGAGTTGCCATAGAAAAGTAGGCATTCTCTTAATGACACGTGGGTTCTAGCAATAGTTTCCATCAGGGATACAAAACCTCCTCCTGAAAAATTGGTGTAACAAGAGTAACGACAATGATACAAAGAAGAATACTTGCTTCTGATTCCAGGCTTTTCACAGCAATTGATGCAAGGGGCTTGTGATCGGGGTACACGCTAGATCGGCATCTCTCCAAGCGAGGCAGGTTGGAGCCTGCATCGCCAGTGACGTTGACCTTGTTCCTTTGGCAGGCTTTCACATTTGCTACCTTTCAGTCCACCTATGTAAACTGCACCTAGTAAATACCTTTCTCTATATACAATACGTATGTGATGGGTGAACACATGGCACTGAGCTGCCTTCCACGGGCAGGGAGGGCCTCATCCTAGGCCACACGGACGTGGGGCTCCTCTTCGGTTTCCTGGCCCAAGCTGGTGTAGGTGACAGACGGTTCCACCTGAGCTGTGGTTGGTAAGTCCACAACGGGTCCCGAAGGATTGCGGAACTGCTTGTATACCCGGGGGTCCTGGGCTATGTACGTGGAGGTGGAGGAGTAGAGAACCAGCCCAATCAGGATGGTGAAGAAAGACAGAAGGTAAAGTCCTGAAAACTGAAAACACAACAGCACAGTCACTTAGTAGCTGGAGCAGACCCATGTCCACATTAATGAGTTCAAGAGGGGGAGCCGAGCAAGCAGCTTAATTGATGAGTTGGCTGGTGGGCTTGATGGAAAGTGAATTTTCTCTTCCTAATCTGGCGTGGTCTTATTGATTCTCCTTATCTTTTCTCTAGACCTGGTGGCTAACACAGCAGACCACTTACCGAATTGTCTTTAAAGTGCCAGTCTGTGTACCTGCTATGGGGGGGGGGGGGGGGGGAGCTAGTAAAATATAAATTGAATTTTACATATGGTTAAAAACAAACAAAAAACAAACCAGAGGCCCAATAAAGAGCTGGTTTTTTGTGACTTAAGTCCAGAAGAAATACAGATATTTCATTTAAGGTTGTAATGAAGCTACAAATAACTGGCCCCTCTAAGACACAGCTACCCTTGGCTACTTCCATCTCACCTGCATCCAGTTCAGAGACTATTGGTCTTTCCTAGTAGGAGCTGTTATTGACATGGAACTATCTTTACAAGATTAGATTATTCTTGGGCCAAAAGTAATAGTCTAACATAGTCTACCATTCCTTCTTGCTGCACCAGTCTAAAGCCCAAATAAACCAAAATGTTTCATTCTGCTTTCTGAACTACTTGCTCACCAATTTACTATTTGTGGGGGGAAATATTGGTTTATACTAGTGCCCAGGAATTTGTATGCTTGAATTTTCTATCTTTTACTCATTCATTCATTCGATCTTTCACTCAACAAATAATTTCTTCTTAAATCACACATTGAGCTATGCTCTAAGGAAAGAGAAGAAAACAAAACTAGAATCTCATCTGTTCTCAGAAATACACAAATAAATAAACCCAACAACAACACAAAACAAAATTTGACACAATTCAGTTTTGTCACACCAAATCTTTTTTAGTCGACAGCTATTTCCCCAGTCTTGACAACACCCCGTGTTCACAGGGGGAAAATAACCAGTTAAATTTGATTTTTTATGCATATATTCTAAAAATGTTGACAGGTATTTATATACTAGATTCAACTTGTAATAGCTTCATTTAATTAACTCGAAATAAGTGATTCACTCTTCCATTATGAAAATAAATTTGATCTTTGATCAATAAATGTATTAAAATAAGACAGTACTCTAAAAAGATCACTCACTCAGTAGGTACTATTGTATATGGTCTGAGAAACCCAACTTAGTCCCAAACACCTCTTCAACTTGCTTTCTTAAATTTTACATTCAGGAGCTTCATCCTTGACCTGACACTTTGGCGAGTGACATGGGATTGTTCTTCGCATTGCCATCATTCCCAGTGTTTCCAGTGCTCATGGCTTTCATTTTCAAACCACCACACAGGGCGCCTCTTGTTTGGGGAGGACAGTGTCCCACTTTCTTACGAAACCAGCCTCCATCAAAGCAGACAAAGGGAGAGCGACTAAGCAAGGGATTTTGAAGTTAGAACTGGATTTGAATTCCAAACTGGATTCAAATCTCAGCTGCACTTCTTTCTAACCATTATTTTTGACAAGTTTTGAACCTTTCCAGGTCCAAATTAGCAAAAAGGGGGGATAGTAATTGTTCCAGTTATGTAGGATGGTTATAAAGATGAACTAAGAGAAGCCGTAGCTATTACTTACAGCAAGTATTTAAGTCAAATTAGCAATATTTTTGTCATTATTACTGGTTTTAAAATTATTATTTTAGCATGTACCATTTTGTAATTGAATATAGAGCTCTTATCTAATCATTGATTTAATTGTTTTCTTCCAGTAGCCCCTTGTCTATGGGACTGTGTGTGTGTGTTGTCTTTTTTTTTTAACCAGTGTTTAGCACATCGTCTGGCATCTAATAAGTATTGTTTGCTTTGGGCTTGTATTTCATATAAATGAATACATTTAATTCTGGTAATTGTAGACTAAAGAAACAAAATCAGTCTGGACCAATGTCTTTCACACTTTTTGCTCTAAATTATACTCTGAAATAATTTATTATAGATAAACTGTTGAACAAAAACCCACTGACAAGAAAGTCATAGTGTGGATCCAAAAGGAACCTTCCATCCTGGAGTCAGTGAGACAAAAAAGGTAGGACAGTGAATTGGGTGGGGCAATGGAGAAGGCAGGCGTCTGGGCTGAAGATCGAGAACTATTGATGAGCGGATTTGCATAGGCAGTTTCATAAACATGAGGTGGGCAGGTTTTGCAATGGGAATGATGCTAAAGGTGAAAGGTTAAAAACTTGTCAAAACTGATGGTTAGAAAGAAGTGCTGCTGAGATTTGAATCCAGTTTGGAAATTGCCTAATCGCTCTTCCTTTTTCTGCTTTGATGGAGGCAGGTTTCAAAAGAAAGTGGGAAACTCTATCTGAAACGAGAGGCACCCAGTCTAGGGAGCTGATTGATATAAAGTGCTCAGATACTAGCGAACCGGTTGGCAGTTCAAAACCACCCTTGGATGATATGCCCAGCCATCTGTTCCCAAGCTTATAGGGTGGAAAGCTTCACGGAGCACAGTTCTACTCTGACACACATGGGGTTGCCTGAGTTAGAATTGATTCGATGACAGCTAACAGACAACATCCATCTAGAAGGGTTTGAAGTCCTTTCAGTTGCTTAGTTTGGATCCCTAGTTCACAGGATCGCTGGAAGTCAGAATCAATTTGATGGCAATGGGCTTTGGTTTTGCTTTTCTATTTATTTTATCAAAATTACAAAGATTTGAATATTTGTTTTGGGCGCAGTGGGTTAAACATTGAGCTGCTAACAGAAAGGCCAGCAGTTCGAACTCACCAGCTTACTCCCAGGGGGAAAGATGAGGCAGTGTGTTTACAGAAAGCTTTCCAGCCCTGGAAACTATGCAACAGTTCGACTCTGTCCTATACAGTCACTAGGAGCCAGAATCCACCAGGAGGCAGTGGGTATGCTGTTGTTGTTGTTGTTTTTGTAAATACCTACTTGATCAACACAACAGCGATTTAAATATGTATTTTTGACATGTTTAGTAATTTGCTATTGTAAATAATGAGACCTGAAAATACCGCTTAAAAAGGAGTATCCCTTTTATAGACTTAGACCTATCAGGTTGAACGATAAATGCATTAAAAGTGTTTTCCTTGGACACGGCTTCAGAACGACACCACATACTTCTTTTCAATGCATCTCCATTTAATTCACACAGAGTCGACTCCCAAATGGTGCAAAGATGGATAGTAGGGAGCTTTACATGGCCGAGCTATCTTGGAAGTCACCCAGCAGGTTTTATTAATAGACGGCGGAGAAAGGTTTCGTTTAATACACAAGCCCCAAAAGGGAGAAGTCGGGCCAGCTTGGTGATCAATCTTGATGTGTATTGAATGTGAAAAATGAAGACAGAGAGGCTTAACATTTTACCAAAGCCAGAAAAGTTTTTTCTTTCTTTAGGGAACTTGATAGAAACAAAAAATCAGGTCTAGTTAGGAAAATGGCCCTCACATTTTGATCCATCTAATAAAAATGAACATAAATAAATCTGGCCAAAAAAATTTCTATGCCAGGCTGCTTAATTTATTAATTGCAAAGAAGTACTTATTCGTAGACCTCTCAGCAAAGAGAACAGCAAGTCCTCTGGACACTGGGAGGAGACTTGAAAAACCATCGCTGAGTTGCGAAAAAGGGAAGCTTGTTGCTTGGTGCCCTTTAAGAGCACATACCACTGCGATTTGCCACTTTAACCCTCCTGCAATCGACTGGAGCCCAGTCTGCGCAGCATGTTCTATGCTGAGATCCACTTTACTTCTGGCATTTGATCTACATTGTCTCTTTCAGAGGCTGAAAAAGGATCCACAGCCTGGATCCACACACCACACTGCAGACTGTCTTTTCCCCTCTTGATGGGTCTCATTGCTAAGACGGGTCCGAAAGCACTCGCCGTACACAGTGGCAATCCCTGTGTGTCACTTAGAGCAATCTGACTGAGACACAAGCCATCGGACCCAACGAGGCAGCTTAGACAACAGATAATAAGGCTCTTTAACCTCCAACCGGGTTTAATCTGAGCGCTCAGCCAGCTGGCATCTCACTATGATTACTATTTAGTTAATGGGACATTCTGCACATCAGTTCAGGACAGCTCCAATGTTCATTTTAGCTTTTATATTAAATATTTAAACTATGTCTTCATAAACTAATGGTTTTAATGGACCAAACCCATACAAGTATTAAAAGACATGGTTTGAAAGTCATTTCAAGTTACACTTATAAATATATCCACTGCAATAGGTGAGGGAAGGGTAATTTTCAAGGGCAACTTTCTTTTTCTGGCTTGACGAAAACTCTGGCCTGGGTGAGCAGAGGGAACACGGGTAATCCTCAGTGAAGCGCGTGGTGGAATGAAGCGCGTGAAGAGCCCTGGGCTTACGGGCTACTTTTCCGGATCATAGCGACCACCCAGTGGTGCATGGTGGGCCTGGCTTATTTCCTTTCTGGAGAATTGCCCTTAAACCAATCTCTCTCTGGAACACGCTTTTGAATAGTACAGCTTTGGTGTCATTTCTGCTGTTGGACTACGGCCATTTTGGCTAAATGACTTTGCTAATGTTTATTAATGATCATAACAAATTATTTATTTAATGAAAGCTTAAAGGATGCGTTAGTTCTTAAAGAAAAAAAAGTCTGAGTAGTTGTATCTTTAAAAAACAGTTCTCATGGAAATAAGAAACTCTGCCACTTGCGGGAGCCAGAAGGAAGACTGAGAAGGAGTAGTTGGTGAGGTGTTCAGAAGAGGAGGGCCTAACAGACTGAGTCTTGGGGCAAAGATCCTGGAGTTACCTGAGGGAAAAAGGAGAGATGTAGTTCTAATTTCCTGGGGGAAACTCGGGGAAAATAGAGTAGGATTTAGAAAAGCAGGTCATATTTTAAAAAGATACGTGCAAAGAAAATTTCTCAGTAGCTGGAAAGAAAGGAGACTGAAGATCAAGATAGCCCAACATAGTAATTCTTTTCTAAATTGA